AAAAATTAATAGTAATAATTGCAAGAATTGTAAACTTATGACGCTGTGCTACTTGCCATCATAACTGTGTTACCTAAAACAATCACTCATGTGGTAGTTTGGTAAAGTTCTCTTGACTATGGTATCTAGCTTTTCCTTATTGAAACAAAACACAGAATTTTCAAAGTGCTATCCCTAAAAGTGGCTTTCTAGACAGAGAGATGCAGTTGACCAAGCAACAATTTCAACTAAGCTTCCACATAGCTTTCCCTTCATGGGCTGGGGAGATGGCTCAGTAGAATAAGTGCTTGCCTGGCAAGCACAAGAGCCTGAGTTCAATCCCTGGTTCCAAAAAGAAAAAAAAAAAACAAACCTTCCCTTCACCTAGGACTTCTATCTGTCTTTTTCTTTGTCTCTGTGTCTGTCTTTGACTCTCTCTCTTCTCTCTCTCTCTCTCTCCCCATCCCTCTCTCCCTCTCCCTCTCCCTTTTCTTCTCCCTCTTCCGCTCTCTCTGTCTATCTTTTAGAACAATCACAATCACAATTATCAAAAACTGTGTGCTATGCAAAACTCAAGAAAAATATTACCTTAACTACACTGAATCAATAACATCCTTAGAGACAAATACACAGTTATAGGAAAGTCAGTTCTTCAAATTCCTCCCATGACTTCCTCTCTTAATAGAGGAAAAACATGTAAAATTAAAAACAGAAAAAAGGTAAAAGGAAAACATACCATATGAAAGAGAGAAGAATAGATCACATGGAAGGAAAGAAATAAAAGGGAAAATGTAAAGAAAGATCAAGACAAATGAAGGAAAATACAGAATTACAACTGTGGGAAGGCAGCAGATGCAAAATCTTAAGTCAGGTTTGGACACTGTATCTCTTGCATCCCTGGACCTTAGAACAGTGTATAAGGGGTTATTTCTTAACACAGAAAAGAAGTAAAAATCAAAAAGGTGAAACTCCACGTCCCCACCCCTCTCTAAGTCCAAAACCTCATTGAATTTAAGTATTGCCATTCCCTAATAAAATTTAACTTGAAAAGGAAAGGTGACAACCTTGTTTAGAAAGGCAAAAAGCTATTAGTCTATGTAAGTTATCTCAAATGTACTAACTGACCATCTACTGATACTCTTTGCAAACTTCTAAATTTGTGGTCTGAGAACATTTTTCTTCCTCTTTTTTGTCATATGTTGGCCAATGTCTAACTAAAGCCATCTTGTTTTGTGTGGTTAGGAAGTTCTCAAACTCAGTTATGTCTAGATCTCAAACCCGGTTATGCTTAAACTTTTCCTCTGGTTTCAGTGGCTAAGGTACAAGTTTTGACTATATTTCATTGCATTCTTTTCTATTTAACCAACACTTCTTTGCCTCGAGGTCTGATTTACAGAACTTGAGACATTACAGAATCTATGAAATACCAAAAATAATATTCTCACTGTAAGAATTGATATTTGTAAGGCTTTATAATTCTATATTTATTTCTTTTTCTTACCAGAAAATAATTTTAATCATTATTAAAAGGATTTTTTATACAAACATAAAAATGTGATTACTTTATTCCATCAGAGATTCACTAAAAAAATTCATAACATAGAACTTTCTTAACCTTGCAAGATAAATATCAGTAAACTAAAACAATAAAGTAATTCCATTAAGCTAAATTCTAATTAGTGATTTTACATCTGTTTATTGTTAGTCATAGGTAGTAGGCAATGAAATATTGATAAGATTCGGTGTGTGTTTCCATGGAGTGCTGCAGGATGGGACATGATTGTAAAATAATTATGAAGCAAAGCCACTGAGATAATAAGGATACTTGTCGATGCTATAATAAACACATGGGGAGAGGAGTATTTATATCCACTGTGGGTGGGGACAAACAAAAAGGGCTCTGCCAAAGCCCTGTCCTCAGAGCTCAGGTTAATGAATACATGGTGACATGGCTTATGTGCATTTCACTAAGGCATCTGATGAACTCTTACATCAGATTTTGTTACCTCATTAAAAAGATATTCAAGATGACAGTACTTATAACTGTGTATTTATTGCCAATTCATGTCTTAAAATTTTGTGGTCATTAATGAAAAATACAAACAGTTTTACCCCCCCCCCAAAAAAAAATCTAGCTTAAAAATTTGGCATGAACCTGTTTTGTGAAGTGGCTTAAGTGGTAAGCCTCAAGGTCTTGAATATCCTAAGAAACATTTTGGTTCACTATTAGAGTTCACAATTATAAAAGTCCTCTAGCAGAGATTTGCACAAATTTTTAGGAGAAAGTAAAAGAAAGGATGCCTTTATTCTGTCATAGGAGTAGAAGGAAGTATCACCAAAACATGTGATATTTAACCTGAGATTTATAAACCGAGCAATTATTGTTAATTATTGTTAATTGCACATTAATTGTACAGAGAGGTTTCCAAGAGAAAAGAGCCATGTGCACAGATGTAAAAAGAAATAAGAGAACTTGTGTTCAAGGAAAAGGAAGCATAAAGCATCAGGTTGACAGGGGATTTGAAGCTGGAATCATAAGCAAATATCAAAGATCCACTTAAGGGGTTTATACTTCATTTCGGGTGCAGTAGTTACTGAAAACCATTAGGCATGTAGGTGACCTGACCAGAGTTGCTGATAGGTCAAGCTCAAGGAGCGACTGGTTTGAAGAGAATGAACTGCAAGCAGGCTACTAAAGTACTCCGAACCATAGAAAATGAAAGCAAGGACTTACAAGCAGTGGAGGAAGAAATGGCAGAGGTGACACTGAATCAGTGTGTTTAGGATGAAAAACAATTTTGGGAGATACATTATAGAGTTACTTCGCAGCTCTTACTTTGTGCTTCTGGATGGTGCTGTTGACTTAATGCAGTAGATGTAAGGAGAATACTTGGTGCGGAGAAAGATGACGAGGACAATTGATATCTTTTATCATTTTAAAATTCTGTGTTAATTTTACAATAGTCCTTTGTGTCAAAATATCTTTTTTATGTATTAAGTACAGGTCTAAAGGGTCTCACTACACAGATCAGATGTGTCAAAGTATCTTATAAATGGGGTTTACCATACCTACCATACAGATCTTTGCCTATCTTTCACATTTTCTTCTTTATCCATTAATCTATTCAATAGCAGTTTACTTGGAATCTACTTTTCTGGACATCATGCTAAAGATGTAAGTAACAGAATTTGTGCTCTTATAGAGTATTACATTCAGAATACCAGACATAAATAATGATTATTATAAATTTAAAAATATTGAAATGGTATTGCAGTCTCCAATATTAAAATTTTCTACCCAATTTTAGAAATTCCTTTGCTCTGCTCTTGTTCTAATACCCTGTGCTAGCTACTCCAGCCTACAGCTACCTGTAGGCACAGACTAATTTTTATTCTCAAAAACTGGATGCAAATATCAACTGATGAATAAACCCATTATTTGGAGGCAGACCACCTAGGATGCGCATACTGCTGCCAGAACCGACTAGTTGGTTATACTTAAAAAATTGTTCAATGTTTCTGTGTTTCAGATTCTCTACTTGTACAATTCATCTAATGGTCCCTGTATCTTCAGGTTGTTATGAAAACAATACAGAATACTATAGGCAAAACAGAAAAGCTTGCACATTTTTAATGCTTCATAAATGTTCATTCTAACTATTAAAGTAGTTGCAGTATAAAAGCTTTTGTAGAAGAAACAATCCCTGGTTGAGTTTTTAAAGTGAACACAAATCAGCCGAAAGTTAAGATATATTCCTTTTTTGCCCTTTACCTCCCTTCTTCCTTTACCCCCTCCCTATTTCTTGCTTCTGCTCAGGAATTTAGTCAAATATCTTCTTGATGAGGCTTTTCTAAGACTATCTACATTTCAAATGCTTAACTCATTCATTTTTATTATTTCCAAATTCTTTGATTATTATATTATATAATTATAAATTCTGCTAGTATAATTTCTTTATATTATGTTCTCTAAGAAAAATATCCTTTTTTCTTAGTGTTGAATAGCAGGTGCTAAAGGTAACTGAGGAAATGAATTCAATAGGAAGTATATTTTAGGTTTCCTAAGCATTTATAATATACCAGACAGCATGCAAAGTACTTTATATATTTTCTTAATTTTATAAATATCAGAAAGAATACTAGGGTCTCAATTTTGAAAGGTAATGATGCAATGATAAAAACTTCTGATTTTTCTCCCATAATATTTTATCTTGTTAACTTCATAGTTTGGCTGTACTTTGTTAACATGTAAAATGTAAGAATAAAATTTCTTTGAGTTGGAACACATGTTAACCAAGAGAAGCTGATGAACATCTTATACTTAGCAGATCTGGACTCTGTCCATAGTGCTGACACTTTTTAGAATGCTCTCTTTGATCACATACAGCCAAGTGAAAATTATGACCCTGAGATGACAATAAAGCCCTTTCTACGTAATACGTTTTACTCTCTATACTGAAGGTTTTTTGAGTGTGGAAATATCCACTAATTATGTTAGTGAATCTTTCCTGAGTAGGAGTTTCTTGAGATTGAGGCATATTTAAGTCTTCTCTTTAGGTATTGTTTGGTAACTATTGGTTCAATTTTTCTCCTTCTTACCCTTTGTTTTACAGAAGATACTCTGCTTGACATCAACCCCTTTCATTATGCATCAAGACCCATCTATTAAGAAACACTTCTCCTGGCTTCCTTAGCACCACTAATTATTAAAGAGAGATAGAATAGGAACATCAAGTGAAGCTGTGACTTTAGCTATCCTCTATAGAACTAAGTTGAAACAATATAGACTACATATAGTCCATACCAATTCAGACTGAAAAAAATGATAATCTAAACTATATGAACCCAATGATCAATTTTCCTTTTTATGTTTTGGGGAGGAAAGATATTTGATCTGCAGTAATCATATTAAAAAGGTGGAGAATGAAGCTACAGATTTTCTTTCTTAAGTATTATAGAGACATAAATGACACATGGAGACTTCTCCTACCTTTGTGGAATATGGATGCCTAACAAAATCTTGGACAGAAGTATGATGTGGGAAAACTGGACAACAGTCAATGAGTTTATTCTTATAAGCTTCTCAAACCTGTCTTCTGAGCTACAGGCTCTGCTGTTTCTCCTGTTTTTGATCATTTACTTGGTTACACTAATGGGAAATGTCCTCATCATCCTGGTCACTACTTCTGATTCTGCTCTGCAAAGTCCTATGTACTTCTTCCTCAGAAATTTATCCTGCCTGGAGATAGGTTTCAATTTGGTCATTGTGCCTAAGATGCTGGAGACCCTGATTGCCCAAGAAACAACCATTTCCTTCCTTGGCTGTGCCACTCAGATGTATTTCTTCTTCTTCTTTGGGGCTGCTGAGTGCTGCCTCCTGGCCACAATGGCTTATGACAGTTATGTGGCCATCTGTAACCCCTTGCATTACCCAGTTATCATGGGACTCAAGACCTGCACTCAACTGGCAGCTGCATCTTGGTTCTCAGGCTTTCCAGTGGCCACCGTACAAACTTCCTGGATTTTCAGTTTCCCTTTTTGTGGCCCCAACAAGGTGAACCACTTCTTCTGTGACAGCCCTCCTGTCATCAAACTGGTCTGTGCTGATACCTCTCTGTTTGAATTGGAGGCCCTGACAGCAACTGTCCTATTTATTCTCTTCCCATTCTTGCTGATCCTAGGGTCTTATGTCCGCATCCTCTCCACCATCTTCAGCATGCCCTCAGCTGAGGGGAAACACAAGGCCTTCTCCACGTGCTCCTCCCACCTCCTTGTTGTTTCCCTCTTCTACAGCACAGCCATTCTCACTTATTTCCGACCCCGTTCTAACACTTCTCCTGAGAACAAAAAGCTGCTGTCACTGTCCTATACAGTGGTCACTCCCATGCTGAATCCCATCATCTACAGTTTAAGGAATAACGAAGTGAAGGCTGCCCTAAGGCGGGTCATCCGCAGAATTAGGGGCCTTCAGAAGCTATGACTAACTTAGATGGAAACTGAAAGGGTAAAGGACAGAGGAAAGAAAACTATATTCTCAAATTAATTTTTCAGCTCCACTCTTTCCAGGAACACATGGTATGCCCCCTGGGATTTGGGGCTTTCCATTAGAATGCATTTCTGAAGAAAGAATGTGAATAATGAAAGCAGGCATTGTCTTCTATGCCACGGTAGTACCAGTGTCTCTAAGGACGCTGCTAACTTATATAGATTAGGTTCTTCAAAAGATTATACAATTCACTCTTTTTGTTTTAACCTTGAATTTTTTTTATTAATTTCATTGTATAATCTGCTTTACTTTCTTGTATTTATCCAAAGCCCTACCTGAATATGTCTTTAGTATTTTTATTTATGAAGTAGTTCAAATAATAGTATTAATGACAATAAATTTACAGTATTTTTCATTGTTCTGCTCATTTTTATAGACAAATCTTGAGTTTGCTCTCAAAATTACAACAAATTTTTATTAAGCAATCTGAACATATCAGGGCCAGATTAGGCCCTCACAACACTGCAGTAAGCAAAACAGATATTTTGCCTCATGGAATTTATTTATTTATTTATTTATTTATTTTTGTATGTGGTACTAGGGATCGAACTCAGGACCCTGCACTTGCTAGGTGAGCACTTATTCCCCTGAGCTATTTCCCCAGCCCCTCATGGAATTTATACACTAGAAAGAAAGCAATGAAAACATACTTCAGATCTTCAAAGCCTTGTAATGTGTGTGCATTTAGAGGAGTAGCAATTGATTACTCCTATTCTGCCATAGTTGGTCTGTGCCTTGTCTGGAGAAAGACTATTCAGCACTGAAAGCTGCCTAAGTCTCAAGTCACTCACGTGGGATACGAAAACTGCTTTACAGAAAGATTATAAAGACCTCTCCATTCAAGTATACATAGGGAAGTTATAGGAATCCTCTTAAACAACTCAAAGATGCTGTTTGTTCAACTTTTTTCTGTAAGATTATATGATTGAATGAAATCAATTGCTCCTTTCAAGCTTGTACAACATTCTGCCAACATAGCAGACTAATTTTTCTCAATGAATATAGAATGACTCTCAACAAACAGCATCCTTGGGGTATAGGCAGTGCAACTTGCATTAATTCCCAATAATTCATTGACAGTTATAGAGTAAAATAGTATTTACTGCACAAGTATATCATTTCCCCCAACTGTATTTAAAAAAAAACCCTAGGGCTGTGGAGATAGCTGCACAGTCTAAGCACCTGCCTGGCAAGTGCAAGGATTGGAGTTTGATCCCTGGCACCCCATACCATGCCAGCTCCAGAACCCTGGATGCAACATGCCAGCCCTGAAACCAGGCATGTTGGCACACTCCTGTGATCCCAGCACTGGGGAGGCTGAGACAGGAGACTCACTAAGCGTTTAAACTGTGTAGAGAGACAATGTATCAAAGAAATAATTTTTTAAAAAAAAAAACTTACCTGGTAAATGGATAAACAAACTGAGATATATATCTATGATGCACTATTACTCGGCAATAGACTATTAATAAATACAATATAAATGTACCACCAAACCTTATGTTATATAAAAGTCAGAATAAAAAATATTCTTAGGATACACATGCATAAAATTTTAGAAAAGGCAAATACATAATAACAGCAGATCAAATGACTGCCAGAGAACAGGAGGAAGTACATAAATTGACTAAAAGAGGATGCCACAAACTTTCCAAGTGATGAAAATCTTTTATATCACGTGTAATGATGGTTAAACTACTGTTTTTGTTTGCGAAAACTGAACTCCAATGTGAACACAGCTCTACTAGTTTGGCTCCTGGTGGTATGTTGATCACACTGCACCACTTCTGTCACTCAGAACTCAGGATTTTGTCCTTGCAGAAATAGAATCATAGTGTATCTCATTTCTTTATGGTGAAATAATTGGCTTAAGTCCACTGAATTTGTTTCTCCACTCAATCCAGAACCAAAAGCATCCGACTTGATAAAATTGCAAAATTGGCCTGCTAAAGCCCCAGTTACCACCAAATAAGATGCATGCTCTAAGAGCTTGAAGTCCTGTCTTATAAAATGCAGTATATACTTTTCAAATAGTTGTGAAAATATGGTGCTGCTCTACAATTGATGCAGTTCAAAGATTGATAAATATAAGGATATAGGTCAAGTGGCTCCTGAGATTATTGAGCAAGTAATCCTTTGCAGTCTTTGTTACCCATCTCTACATTCTTAGGCTTGACTGAGTTAAGATTCCTACTATCCCAAATAAATGCCTTCACTATGGTCCTGAACTACTGAGAATCTTAACAAATTAAAAACCACTTTCTCACTGGTATTGTAGTTCTTTTATTACTGAACTGGTAGGCACACATTGGTACAATCAGTGTATAGTCTAAAGTGATTGATCTTATTTCCAAACACAAATTTAAATGGTCAAAAACACGTGTGGTAAAGAAGACTGAGTCGAGATCCCAGATGATTCACTGGGATAACATTATACATCCTTGAACAGCAGGTCCAGGCAAAAAGAAACCACAGAGGTACCATAAAAAAGGGATTATCAAGTACTCAAATTTTAAGGGGAAAAGTTTTCAGTCAGCGTATGAGATAAACCCTAGCAAACACAGACTAAGATAGAAAAGAAGTTCATGAAAGGTAGTTAAAGAAAAAGTCATAATTGTCAATTTAGGTCTGTTAATAAGGATCAGAAACTACAGTAGATACTTTTCCTTCTAATGATTTGCTTTTTTCCATCTTTTTTCTTCCTAATTTACTTGTATAAGTAATCCTAGTGGAAATAATCCTACCTTTCCTTGTAGGTATCAAGAAGTGTGACTTACTTGATGTCACATGGCTACAATAAACTTGTTGGTGGAATTTTGCATGTTCTCTATATTAGGAACATGAGTTATCACTGGACAAAGAAGAAGTAGATGCTGAGGGCCAAAGAACAATCATTTGCTCTTCACCTTCAGCTTCCTTTGACCTGTGATTTCACTGTCCTCTCTCACCTTGCCATGTGTTCAGAATGTTTGTTTTCAGAGCCAGCCAAATAGCGAAGCAGATTAAAGCCCTTACTTAGGCAGATGCACCTGCCAGGGCTCAATCCCTGGTGCATTGTGTGGACCCCTCTCCCTGGGGTGCTCTGAGATGGTGATTGAGACTGGGCATAGTGGCACACACCTGTAATCCCAGCTCTTGGGAGGCTGAATACAGGCGGATCACTATGAGTCTGATCTACATAGTGAGAGAGGACCCTGTAGACCCTGTACTAAATACAAAACAAAAAAAAAAACTTTTTGTCTTTTATGAACCATATGAAGAAGTTCCTTTGTACTCTGACTTCTAAATGGAATACAATAGTGAGGCTCAAAAGGAGGTAGAAATTAAGCTTGAAGTATCTCTTCCCAGCACTTTCTAATCTCCATCTGACCTAGTCCACAGCTCTTATGTGATGTACTTTGCCTATAGCTACTTTCTCTAGCTCCTAGTTCTGTCTTCTTGGTCCTTCAGGACTAGGTTTGATTATAGGTTCTCATTCTTGCTAGACCTGGTATGTGTCATTATTTCTTGTGGATTTACAAAACTACATATTCACTCTCACGAAGGTGAATCCTAATAGGTAAGATCTTCACATCTCTAGAAGGACTGAAATGGACAGAAGAGCTCAGATGTGCTGGTCACTGTACCATGCTCTTCCTTACTCGCCTCTAACACACACAGGTGACTTACATGCATATACAAACAGCACCTAAATCATGGCAAATGATTGATATTTCTTAAATTTTTATTGTTGTGCTTTTTTAAGTTCAAATACTACAATACAAAGAAGTATCGGTGTAAGATACTGGAGAGATAAATACATAGATGTGTAATATTATATATAAAAGAAAACATTTTACAAGGTTTATAAAATATGAATATTTCTCAGGAAATTTCCTATTTTGGGTGTCAAAGACTGAAGCAGAAGGAAACAGATCTTCTGCCCTATTGCTCCTCGAATTGGTTTGCTTCTTCAACAAAGGAAGTGCTAAAGGGTAAAGAGGGAATTTGAAGACAAGGTTCAAGAATGAGAATCTCACATTTAGATTCTTGAGGAAGTAAACTGCCCAGCAAGTCTTACCAGGTAGGAAGTCAGAAAGGTCTCCAAGTCAGTGGATGATAGTAAGCCTGCATGGGAAATTTCTCGTGGCTACTTTCCTCAGGGCTCCCTTCACATCCTTGTTCCTCAGGCTGTAGATTAAGGGATTAAGCATTGGAGTTACCACTGCATAGAAAACAGACACCAGTTTCTCTTGCTGTTTGGAAGATTTGGGTGTCATGTAGGTGATAATTGCTGATCCATAAAAAAGGGTGACCACCAGAAGGTGGGAGCCGCAGGTCGAAAACGCCTTGAGCCTTCCAGCAGCTGACTTCATCTTGACCACAGTCTCTATGATGTAGCCATAAGATACAAGAATTAGGGAAACTGGTAGAAGAAGAATCACAACCCCCATGAGGAAAATAGCCATCTCTGAAGTACGAGTGTCGGTGGATGCCAGAATCAACAATGCAGGGGCCTCACAAAAGAAATGAGCAATACTGTTGCTGCCTCGGTAGGGCAGCCTGAGTGTGAAAGTGGTGTCCACCACGGACACTAAAATGCCACTGGCCCATGATCCGGTGGCCAGCTGGATACACACCCTCCAGGTCATGATGCTAGGGTAATGCAAAGGGTTGCAGATTGCCACATACCGATCAAAGGACATCACTGCCAAAAGGACACACTGTGTACACCCAAAAATGAGGAAGAGGAAAAGTTGAGCTGCACACCGAGTGAATGAAATTACCTTCTTTCTTGAAAGTAGGTGGACTAGGGCCTGAGGAACTATGTTTGTAGAGAAACAGAGGTCAGCCAGGGACAAATTGCAGAGAAAAAAATACATGGGCGTGTGAAGCTGGTTGTCAACTTGCACAAGGGACATGAGAAGCAGATTTCCAAGCACAGTGATCAGATAGACACCCAGGAATAAGAT